CAAAACGGAATCAGTATAAACTGGTATTTTATACTATATTGACGTGTCGTGAAAGAACATCAGAAACTTCGAAGAGGGAAAATTTTCTTACCGATTCTTTGTCATTCGACTATAAGGAGCTTAGATATCGATCCCGTCTCAATAGAAACGGCAAATACGTGGCCGTGGATTATGTTCTATAATGAATTGCTAAGTTAGTTACGTCAAAATGTTTAGTTAGATGTCTAGGCTTTTGTTCGATGTTGTCTAATGAGGTTTAACTCGTTATTGTAAAGGTTTTTTTTTTATTGAAGTATTTTGATTATTGGAAAACACCTAAAACTCTAGTGATAGTAATTTAATAGGTTTATGTTTGAAAATATTAATTTTTAAGAAATAATTTATAATCACATCTTTTGAAAACAAAGTAAAAGTTCAAAAAAAAAATAGTAAGGCGTTTCTTGTAAATAAAAAATTAATGTGCAAACATCTCATTTCTACATAATCCTTTTTACCTTAATAATTAAAAATTAACCGTCGTCGCGTCGTACCATGTTCCATAAATACCCACATTTACACACACACTTACACAAGCCTATACTTACATCACAGGCTTCAATAACACAGTGTGACCACACTGACCTCGACCTAGGGCTGCAACAGGTTGAAATAGCAGCACGGACAAAAAAAATACAAATACACCCTGTATGTAGGAACGCTACAGTACATCTACTCCTTCCTTTAAGGGACTTACAGCTTTAATGTCTTGAGATAAAGTTGACAATTGATTAAAGTAGTTTGACAGGTCTGTGTGGATTGCTTATAAAGGAGTTTTAACTGTATTCTTTGGTTATAGAGTTGATTATCTATTGTAGTGATTTGACAGGTCAGGGTAGATTGATCCGTAGTCGGTAGTTAGTACTATGTTGCTTATAACCTAGAGAGGAAAATCTGTGCCGATTGGTATTTGTGTTATTAGGGATCATAAACAAAGTCTGTTGTGTTTTTTGTTCTGCTTTGTTATCTGTTATTTGGTAAAATAGTTTTACTTTATATAAATGTATAGTAAATCGGTTTGAAACATAACACATAATATCACGCCTTTTATCCCCGAAAGGGTAGACAGAGGTGCTCATTACGCTACTGTACAATGTAACACCCACTTCTCACTATTTATGTAATGAGTCCCATGTAATAGGGGGTGAGCCTATACCGGGCACAATCCAGACGCCGTGTTACTACTGAGAATTAAAAACCCAGTAATACTTTGCCCAACCCGGGAATCGAACCCGAGACCCTTTGCCCGGCAGTCGCACTCGGCCAACGAGGCAGTCGGTTTGAAACCTTAGGCTAATAGGTTGAAGACTTTTGTTAGTCTATAATTCTGATACTAACTTCTTAGTACGTTCGTGAATTTTATATGGAAAATAAATGTTCATCCCTAAGAGCCGATTTTATACAGCCAAGTTTTACTAGTTTTGATATTTAAACTGTCAAACACCAAGCGGTCACCGGTGACCGCAACCTATTGTTCTATAATTGTGTCTACAATGACGGTACTCGACGAGTTAAACAATAGACATCGTATATCCATTGTTCCTGATAAAAAAGTAAAAATCAATATCTTAAAATAAATTATCTCATCTCATATTATACCAAAGGAATTACGCTACTTAATAGCCAAATTCCTTTAGCAAACATTCTCAAGTTAAAGCAAGTAAAACATGCAAATGATAATATGGAAATGCAATTTTGTGCTCTATATACATTGTCGTACAAAGTTCACAAGAGGAAATATAGCATTTATTTCCAGAGGATAACATTTCATTTACCTACTACTCGATACGTAATACCAAGAAATAGTGAAACTAAATATAATTTATCTAGAATTCTCTAGCATCTACCTCTTGTAGCAGATATTGTGTCTTTTATTAAATGTTATATCCAGTTTTTTGTAGAACATAACCTTTTTTTAAATTAGGTATTGCTTGTTATATTCTTTTGTTTTCACATAAAAACATAAATTTGTGAGATTTACAAATTGTATCGGGTTTGGGTGTTATGTGTGTGAGTTTTTATGTTTGTAAATGCACCCACAACCTAAGACAATTATTTTTCTATGAATTCCGTTTGGGAATCGAACCCGCGCCATGTTGCAGTTACCCAACCACTGCGCCAATCGTGCATTGTACCGTTACAATAATATTACAAAAAATATTTAAAAAAATAAATTTCACTATTCTTTTCATTTGAAAATACCAAAAGAAAAGACCAATACATGGACTTACGTCTATTCCTTTAAACCATTGCATTATACGTTATGAAATCGTTCGAAATAGTAAACCTAACTTACAATATTGGTGGACAAAATAAGAAAGAAACTCCATACAATTTACTTAACATTTGGCACGAACCAAGTAAATATTACTCTAGCCGACAAAGCCAAGCGGACGAGCCATAAGTATGGACGCCATGTGAATACTATATTTTTTATTTTAAATGAAAATATTGTTGACGGTCACTTTTGCTGTCTAATATCCATATAGTACACTGTGTATATATATGCAGATAATGCTCGTACAAGCGTTTCATACGAGATTGGAACGCCACCTAACAACCTAAGCACACGGAGCGATCGCGAAACGCCTCTACTGCGCGTATACGCGCGACTACTGCGCGAACACGCGCTGTAGTCGCTCGTAACAATAAGACATGAAAATGCATGTTTGAGACGCGCGTTCCTAAATGCGAATTGCCTGCGCGTGTAGAAATACACCGTGTGCTATGGGCCTAAAGGTTTTTAGGTGTTTTACAAAATAAGAAATACCATGTCATAAGAAACTATTTTATTTTATTAAACTAACTAAGCCATCATCATCGCCATACCAGTGACAAAACGTTTACTGTTAAACTAGGCTAGATAGATAGACTTCTCCCAATGGCATCCAGCCAGATCGGTTGAGTGGAAACAACCTGCACCTCATCAAATTATTTTAAAACAACTCAATAAGTTTCAAAGCAGTACCACCACAAGCAAAGTAAAAAATTGTGCACTGCATTTTACAAATGAGTTTAACATTAAATAAATGATTGTAAATTGACCTCGAATAACTCTGCTACAAGGGCAATAAGATTATTATTAAGTCCATCAAGATAAGTAGAGAAAAAGTAGTTTATTATAAATAGACCTTTTTGTAGGCGAGAAAATCATCGAATGACTGCTCCCACCTGGGTGAGGCGGGAGGGAATGTCAGACTCTTACTGACTAAAAACCATCCCGTTTCTTCTCCTGCACGTCAAGCCGGAGCCCCGGTAACCCGTTAGGTTCTCCGCGACAATAAATAGACCATTGCCTGCAATCTCGGGAAGTGGGAGGCGTAATAGATTGTGAAGCAACATATAAATGACCTTACATCCTCACTAACTTACGCATTTATAAGATTAGTGGGATATGAAATCTAGTTAAAAATCAATCTAGTTAAAAAATACTTAAATCAAATGACTATATTCAATTAGTTATAGTACAGCAACAAAATGGCGTCAATTAGTTGGCTAGCGCCTGTTCAGACCTGATTTCTGTTTATTAATGCAGGGAATACCGGCGCGGTCTATTTGTGAAGCAATCATTAATATTACATCTGACCTTTTAGCTACAGTTTGTGTTTCCATGTTTTCAATTTAAATATTTAGTTTCAAGTTATTTAGTGATCAGTTGTTAATAATTTTGTATTTTAGTTTAATTGTGTTTGTTGTTTTTATTTTGGCTCCTCCCATCCATGGTCAAGCCATGTGCTTCCAAGCCATATATTTCATTTCATAATACTCTGTATCTCAGTATATCTCTGTATATCGTAGTACTCGGTATTATGAAATGCAATATATAATTTCCATTTGTATTTTTCATTTAGAATTAATTAGAAAGAAGAAAGATGTCTCGGTCGGTATTTCCTGCTGACTGAAAACTTGGTGAACCAAATTGGTATTATTATAAAAAAAAATACATACAGATACATCACATTATATCAAAATTATTTCAGCCGTTCAAAAGCAATTCAATAATGTGTTCATCCATAATAAATACACGTCATAATCACACTAATATTATAAAAGTGAAAGTTTCTTTGTGTAGATGTTTGTGCGCCAATCACGCTGAAACTACTGAACGGATTTTGAAGAAATTTAGTATTTTTTTTTGTAAAGGTCGAAAATCAACGAATGGCTTCTCCCGCCTGGGTGAGGCGGGAGTGAGTGTCAGACTCCTACTGACTAAAAACCATGCCGTTCCTTCTCCTGCACGTCGAGCCGGAGCCCCGGTTACCCATTAGGTTCTCCGCGACTCCGAATCGGCATCGGCCCTGTTGGGCCCCATCTGTTGTGGTCTGATGGCTCTTTGAGGCGCGCGCGGAACGCTACGCTTGGGGACTTCTCCCGCCTAGGTGAGGCGGGAGGGAGTGTCAGACTCTTACTGACTAAAAACCACCCTGTTTCTTCTCCTGCCGTTTGAGCCGGAGCCCCGGCAACCCATTTAGTCCTCCGCGGCTAAGAAATTTAGTATACAGGAAGGGTATGGGCTGACTTAGGTGATAGGATACTTTTATCCCGATTAAATGCTCCTATGGGTAACACGATGTCCGGTTCCGGCTGTCATCGGCATAAGACGTAACAAAGTTAGCTCCGTGAATATAAACATAAAAGTGTGAAAAAACCAATATTATCCGTAAACTGTGCAAGTGAAATAAACACATATGACTAAAAGTGTAATATAAGTACTATAAAGTGTGTGATTACTTTGTGTTAAACAAAATAAGTGCAAAGAAAACTGTCTCAACTTAACCTACAAAGTATAAACAATCTTAATTGTCATTGTCAGTTGCTATTTTGACATTGACGTACGCCAAGGCTACCAACGTAAGATAACGTTTCGTTTCACGCATATCGACGATCGAGTGTTGCCACCTCATCTATAAACTACTACCAAACTAAATTAATGTTGCCAAGTCTATAATTATAAATCGGTCGAAATGGATGACCAAATGCAATTACTATTTTCAAATTTAAAATTAGAATTGGAAAAGCAAACCACAGCATTGAAAAAATCCATCAGAGAAGAAATAGATGAAACATTAAAACCATTAGTAGAAGAAAGTCAAATTTTAAAAATAGAAGTTATTAAATTAAAGGAAAAGATTAATCGCCTGGAATCTGAAAAAAGGGAGACCAATCTAATTTTCTATGGCTTCGAAGAATCAACAGAGACACATACCAACATCGTCAAAATGATATCAACTGCTCTAAATAAATCTGGGATTGAAATTGAAGATCGCGATATTAATAAAGCACTTCGAATTGGCAAACCAAGAGAAAAAGCACGTCCAATTTTGGTTAAGATGCTGAATGTATGGAAGAGAAATGAAATCTTAAAAAACAAGAAAAAGTTGCCTAAAAATATATACGTCAACGAAGACTTTAGTAAAGAAGTGCTAGAAAAGCGTAGAGAGCTCATGCCTCAGTTGAAAGAAGAGAGAAAAAAAGGTCACACGGCTTTTTTGAAGCATGACAAACTGATCATAAAGGAAGACGAAAGTACATCCCGGGATAAACGCAAAAGAGAAAATTCCAATTCCCCTAATAACCCCACCGGAGAAAAAACACGACCAAAAATCAATAAAATAAATGCTTTCGAACATATGTACAGGAACAGATCCCACTCATCGTCAGAAATAAATACAAAATAGCAACTAGCAAACGTCAGCAACCGGAAGATCAAGAGTAATATGAACAAACAGCGAAAAGAAACAACAACAACAAAAAAATCTCCCCCAAGCCGGCTGGTCCCCGTGGGGGAAAAAGACCACAACCCTCCAGCAAGCACAATAAACAAAAAAGATTCTAAGAACTATCTAAAAATTGGGACGTATAATGTCAGGTCACTATCAACAACACACCGCTACTTAGAACTCACCAACGCACTGAAAGATATAAATTGGGACATACTAGGACTCTCAGAAACAAGAAAAATGGGTTGCCACATTGAAGAATATTCAGAGCATGTTCTATGCTATATAGGAGAAACAAAGGGACTGTATGGAGTCGGATTTCTGATAAAAAAGGCATGGAAAAATAATATTACTAACTTTACTGGCATTTCGGAGCGAGTAGCATTACTACAAATGCAATTTGGCAGAGTAAACATTTCAATAATTCAGGCATACGCACCCACGGAAAGATCAAATGACACAGATATTGAAAATTTTTATAGTGATTTGAAAAAAGCCCACACACTAGCCGACGAAAAAGTCATAGTATTAGGAGATTTCAATGCAAAAATAGGACAACCCAAAAACGACGAAAAACTCGTCTTGGGACAGTATGGCCTAGGCCAAAGAAATGAAAGAGGTGAACAACTGCTAGAATATGCATTCGAATACGGATTAGCAATAATTAACACTTATTTTAAGAAAAGACCTAGCAGAAGATGGACTTGGAAGTCACCAGATGAAAGTGTTAAAAACGAAATCGATTACATCATGACAAACGTCCCTAAAATAGTGCAAAATTTTGAAGTTCTCAGCAACGTAAAGTTTCGAACAGACCACAGACTACTTAGAGCAACGGTCCTACTAAGTAAATCGAAAAAAAATAGAAAAGGCTTTAAACCACCGCCTAAAATCCCTAAAACAGAAGAGGAAACCAAGTACTACATAGATAGCCTCAGATTGAATATCGATAACAAACTAGTAGACACCAGTAACGTTCAATCTTACTATGATGTGCTGGAAGTAGCTATAGCCAAAAGTTTAACTAGCCAGAACAATCCAAAAAAAGAAAAACGGCATAATATACTTAGCGAAGAAACTTTAGCACTAATTAATAAACGCAGTGAACTAAGTAGAGTTAAGAAGAAAGATGCTAATACAAAGAAAGAACTAAGCAAACTATATAAGGAAACCAGCAGAGCGACCAAAGGGGACTATAGTAAACACAGACAAAAGATAATAACGGAAAATCTTAACAAATTCAGAAGTACCAAGAGAGCATTTAAAGAATTAAACTTAAAGAAACCCTGGATACAAAAACTAGAAGGACAACACAATAACACCCAAACAAGACTCGAAATTATACAACAGGCAACTGCTTTCTACCAAGATCTATACAGAAATAAAGACAAAACCATCGAAGAAGACAACGAAGCACATTTTTGCAATAACACAGAAACTATTAGGCCGATAGAAGAAAAATGTGTATATGACCAGTTGAAACAATTAAAATCAGACAAAAGTCCTGGTCCCGATGGAATATCTAATGAAGCATTGAAACTAGGTGCACCAGTCTTACTCAAACATCTCACAGACTTATTCAATCTCATATTAAAGACCGAAATCGTGCCCATTCAATGGTGCACTTCAGATATCATATTACTATACAAAAAAGGAAACCCTCATGATATTAACAACTATAGACCAATTAGCTTACTGGCAAATATATACAAAATCTTCTCATCTATAATTCTTAAGCGCATAACACAAGAGATTGAAAACTCACAACCAATTGAACAAGCTGGCTTTAGATCTGGGTTCAGCACTCTAGATCATATACAAGCACTGGGTCAAGTTATAGAAAAATACGAAGAGTTTAATAAACCTCTTTACCTGGGTTTTATCGACTACAGCAAAGCTTTTGACAGCATCAGCCACATCTCTATATGGAAATCACTAAGAAAACTAAACATAAATTCAAAATATATAAACATCATAAAATACATATACAACAACAGCACAAGTAAAGTTAAGCTAGAGTCAAGAGGTGAAGCAATTAATATAGAAAGAGGAGTTAGACAGGGGGACCCTCTGTCACCCAAATTATTTATTGCCGTTTTGGAAGATATATTCCAAAATATAGACTGGAGAACTAGAGGCATAAAAATAAACAACTCCTATCTTAGCCACCTCAGATTCGCGGACGACATAGTTATACTTTCTGAAACAGCAAGCGAACTGCAAGATATGCTATGCTCTCTTGATCAAGCAAGCTCAAAAATAGGATTAGAGATGAATGCTACAAAAACCAAAATTATGACAAACAGCATAGAACAGCCCATAAAGGTAAACGAAAAATCCATTGAATATGTCCACAATTACATCTACCTAGGCAAACAATTAACACTCTCGAAAACGCTTAATGAAAATGAAATTGAAAGAAGAACAAACATAGCATGGAAGAAATTTTGGTCACTCAAAGAAATACTTAAAGGAGATTATTCTATAAACCTGAAGAAAACGGTACTAGACACTTGTATATTGCCTTCCCTGCTGTATGGCTGCCAAACTTGGATATACACGGCAAAAACAAAACAAAAGATCACAACAACCCAAAGAGCTATGGAGAGAAGCGTCCTGAACATAAGGAAAATACATAAAGTCAGAAACCAAAAAATAAGACAAAAAACAAAGGTAACAGATGCCCTTACACAAGCACTAAAACTGAAATGGCAATGGGCAGGCCATGTATCAAGATACACAGACAACAGGTGGACAATCAAAACTACAAAGTGGAAAGGACCAGTCGGCAAAAGAAAGGTAGGAAGACCAAAAAGAAGATGGGCTGACGATATAACCGAACTTACTGGAAAGGACTGGTTAGCAATCGGCAGGGATAGAGATGAGTGGAAAGGGCTGGAGGAGGCCTTCACCCGAGGAGGGGTCCATACCCAATAACTAAGATAACCCTTACTAACACCTAGGTATAAGCAAAACTATTAACTTGTAAAATACTAACCAAGAAAATATCAACATTTGAACTGTAATTTAAGGTTATGGAAATAAAGGCTTTTTATTTTATTTATTTATTATGGGTAACACAGGAATCATATTCTACGCAAACGAAGTCACGGGCAATAGCTAGTAATAAATAAATGTTACCTAAAGCATTATCCGGAGAAAACTTTTCAAATTCACACTTTACACTTTATCATCTCAAATAGAAAATAATATAATAACAAACTGATAATCTTGAAAGTAGACAGAATTTAATAGAGAAATACTTCATAAATTAAATTACAGTCGTGAATAGATGGCAATCTAGCTTGTGGGGAAATTTACAAGGTTTCAACCAAGTACTTATCATCCCGGGAGGTATGAATCACCTGAAGGCTGAGGGTTACTAGGGGGGAAGCGGGGGAGGGGTGTAACCGACCCATAAGTAGTTGAACTGTTTGAATTATATTTTATACGAGAACTTTGCTGACTTTACTGGTATTTCTTGCCTTTTGAGTTATTAAGTTGTAGTATCGTTTAGTTTGGTGTGGTTTTGTTTGATTCAATGATTTATTGTTAAGTGAAATTTGACATGATTTATATATTTGATTGAATTATTGAATTGTTGAATAGTTAAATAATAAGCTTAGATTAAATATATGTATGTAAACAAAATGGAAATAAATATATTTTGTTTGTTATTAGAGGATTGTTTGTGTATTGCTTTATTGTCAGAGAATGTAAGTGACTTTTGGTGATCATGATAAATATGTGTCTCATAGACCATCATCAACATTCTAGTCCACTGTTAAGCATGAGATACATTATAGGACTTCTCATTGTGTACACGCTTGGCAAACTGGTTGGAGAAAGCAGTTAAAAGGTTCAATTTCCGTCAATTAAGTAGTCTGTAATCCGTTAGCTTGCCTTTTTTTATGGAATAGGAGGCAAACGAGCAGACCGGTCACCTGATAGTAAGAGATCAGCGCCGCCCATGGACACCCGCAACACCATAGGAGGCACAGGAGTACGCTCTTTTCTTGAAGATTTGAAAGTCGTATCGGTTCGGAAATACCGCTGACGACAAACCATTCCAAAGTTTTGCTGTGCGAAAATAATTTTACCTGTATGATACCCATGGGGAAGAGTAGGAGTGTAAATGGAGTAGTTATAAAAATATTTTAAATTCTGCCTAGTCTAGTCTCATAGAAATTGACTTCAATATTCTATCTTTCTTCATAAAAGTACGATGACCTTACACTATTACAATAACAATCGTCTAAAATTAGAAAAACGTTTGATCGTGACTCCTCAATTATAAGTTTAAGATTCCTTGTAAAACGAATGGAAAATTTTCTTAGGACTTCGCGTATCATTCCGCACAGTAAAAAGAAATGAGTGAGTAGAATATTTATTGGAATTCTTGATATCGACTTGATCATATGAATAGGTTGTTAGGTAATGGTGTGTAATAGGATCTTAATAAAATATATTTTTATGTACAAAAAATATTTGGATAGTATCCGCAAGAGTTGCCAATAAGTACTTTTCTATGATTCATCAGTTCCATCCACTGCTAAGGATAGGTATCTTCAATAAGACGCCATTAAGGTCGTCTTTCAAATTGTATGATTACTAAAAATTTGGTAACACTCATTAAAAATAGATTTGAATTGTTAGATATCGCAGGCCATGGATGCAGGCGGCTTCCAACTTGCCGACCTGGAAGCCTATGTTCAGCAGTACAGGAGACGCTTTTTGTGGCTACTATTATAATGACTGGATAACTAATAAGATAGATATTTCAACTTTAGGTTTTAGGTCTAAGATACATATTTCAACTTTAGGTTTTAAGTCTAAGATAGATATTTCAACTTTAGATTTTAAGTCTAAGATAGATATTTCAACTTTAGGTTTTAAGTCTAAGACACATATATCAACTGTAGGTTTTCAGTTTAAGAAAAAAATATTAGTATTTCTTT